GCAGGGCAGGATCGCACCCAGACTGGGGCTAAACAGCAAAGCCACCACCCCTGCCCCTGCAGCTCCAGCCTGACTCAGCTGGTAACAGGATGGATACCATCATACTGCAGAACCTGCCCAAACCCCTCACCTCTCAGCTCAAAGGGATCCAGGCATTATGGTCTGGTGATCTCCAGGGACTAGAGGAAACTGTTGCAAGATACTCCTGTGTCTGGATCTCCTGTGTCCTACCACTCCAGCCACCTCCAGCCCATCTCAGCCACAGCACACAACCCTGGGTACAACTCACACCTGCTGCCAGGCTGATTTCAAAGAGCTCCTTGGTTTAGCTTCTCCTTGCCCCACTGTGCACCTGCAACCCAGCTCCATCACCCCTACCAGCAGGCCTGTGTGTTCCCCAGCACCCAGATGGGTCCACACCGAGCACAGGCAAACAGCAACTGCAGCAAGCGGGTGAGATCCTGCTGGCATAAAGTTTCCTGATGCAAAGAAACCCATCTGTGCTCCTCGGTGGTGCTCCAGGCCAAGCTGAGCAGCACTTCCCATCACACACCCCTGGGTCTGACCTGCTGTCCAGAGCCCTAATTCCAGACGTCCCATATCTCCCAGCCATGGCCCTGCTGCATCTCAGCATGGACAAGGAGACTTGGACCTCCACAGCACAGATAAGGAGATTGGGTCATCTCCAGCTCCAGATCACTGTAAGCCTTGGAGGCATCACAAGGGACTGCAGCTGCCTCACCCGCACCCACCACGCCCCTCATGTTCACCCACAGGGGCAAGGGGAGGAAGCCAGCACCAACCTTCACTTCGGGGTGGTCTGGGGCCACCCCAAAACGCACGAGCCCAAAGGGAACAGGCAGCTTCTCGTAGATGTCCACTTGGGCCCCACCATGGTGCTGCAGGAGAAGGAAGCTACAGTCAAGGGATGAGGGCAGAAAGGCCACGAGAGCTCAGGAGGGGCATGCAATGCTCGCGTGCTGCTGGGGGAAACGTGGCACAGGAGGGAGGGTGGCACCAAGTCCTGTAGCCAGAAACAGCCTCTTCCAGACCCTTCCATGCACGGGATGATACTGTACCTGTTCGTGCCAGCTCAGGTGGCAAAGTGTAGCAGACAGCATGACCCCAGCTGCCACCAAGTACATCTCTAGGGGGGGCTCCATCCTCCTACCCACCCCACAGCTCTTCCTCCACACTAATCTGGTGGCTATCCACTACCCAGAGGGCTCATGAAAGAGCCCCCACACAGGCTAGGGAAGCACCCAGCACAGCACCCCAGGTGCTGCTGGCCCTGCCAGGCTGTCTGCCAACCCTCAGCAGAGATGCCTGTGTCCTGAGATCCCCCTGAGCTGAGTCACCTCAGGGTCAGAGCTTTAGGCAGACGTTTTGCTGCAAGGCCTTCGTTATCTAGTATTTTGAGTCAGCCTCTTCCTGGAGATTAAGCAGCCCTGAAATTTGTCCCTGAGGCTTAGTAACAGCTTTTTTCCAAGGTGTACTGGAGACAACACAGCACAGTTTAATGACGGGGTTAAGCTGCTGCATCTCTGCTGGGTGCCAACAGCCCTGTGCCTGCTCAGGTCTCATTTCCCCACAGAGACCTGGCTGCCCAAAGCACTGACGTGCGCAGACACCAGGTGAAGGAGCACCTGTCTGCCTTGACTCGGCTGGGGGAGGAGGAGGAGGTAGGAGAGCAGGTCTTGCACGTGTCCTTTGATACACAATTAACGTCATCTCTGTCGGCTGACAACAGCTCTGAGCAAGTCAGAAAGAACCACAGAATGGTTTGGGCTGGAACAGACCTTAAAGGTCATGTAGTTCCAACCCCCCTGCCATGGTAAGTGGCAGATTGCTGCTGCTCATTTGATTCTAGAAAAATCACTTGGGCTGAACAATCCTGCCAGGCCTGGGTCCCACCCGGCTGGCCCAGGGGCAGGGGTAGCCATGCCCCCAGGAGGACTCTGCAGGGCCAGGG